CCCCCCCAGACCACCCCCCCCCCCCCCACCCAGACTGAATCCCCCCCCCCCCCCCAACAAAACCCCCCCCCCCCCACCCAGAACCCCCCAAAAAAAAAAAACCACCCCCCCCCCCCCCACCCCCAAAAAAAAACCACCTTTTCTAAACCCCCCCACCCCACACCCAAAAACCCCCCCCCCCCCACAAACCCCCAACCGGCGCCCTTTTTTTACAACGCAGCCCCACCCCCACAAAACCCCCCCCCCCCCCCCCCCCCCCAAAAGGGGGGGGGGGGGGGGGGGGGTTGTTTAGGTCCGGGAGGCAGAGAGAGGTAGGTTTTCGCTTCATATTGTTGGAGTGTGTTGTTGTTGTTGTCTTCACATTAAAAACCGTTCCGGTCTCCGCGTGTGTATTTTTTTGGCTCCGGAGGGGGCTACGTGCGGGCCTTCTTCGGAGCTGTTGAACCATCACTCAGCAACCCTAAAAAATACCAAAAATAAAAGCTGTACCTCTTTTTGTTTTTTTGCTCTTGGATATGGTGTGCGTTATTGGCAAGTGCCGCATACCGGACATATGCGGGCCACACGAAGGCGGCTCCCGAATTCATCCTCACACACTCATTTATTTTCAACAATGCGAGCCCCCTTTCTTTTCTCCCGTCCTCGTGCACGCTCGCAGCTGTCTCAGCTGCAGGTGGACCTCAACTACAACCACGTGTACTACCTCGAGAAGCGGGAGAGCCTGGCACCCCCGCTCCCGCCCGAGCCGGTCCTCGGCCCCCACGGGTGGGTCTACCCACCCCCGCCCGTGCCACGGATCATCGGCCGCACGACCGCGCTCAGGCTGAGGTCGGGGGAGTTCGTTCAGCACCGGAGCGGCTTCATGAAGCGAACGCAGTCGTACGCGAAGCGCAACAACATCCCCGTGGACAACCTCGTGACCTTCAGCGTGAGCGAACGTTCTTGGTTGTGTGCTGATGGCCGTGTGTATGTTGCGACTATCCAGGTTGTTGTTGTAGTTTGAGCCCTCTCTTGCACTCCATCCAGTACCTCCTCTCCCGTACCATTTTTAAGTCAGAGAATTTTTCAAAAAACGGGTGGTACAATGCTGAATTGTTCAAGCAGGCCAAGGTCAGACCATGTTCTTCCACGGGCAACAGATTCTAACTAGCGGTATTCAACCCGGAGAGCGAGTAACAAGGCACTGTAGATACCGTGAGGCACTGCGAAAAGAAACGACACATCGTGCACCGCTGCTGAGGGATAAATCACGTCCGACGTGGATATTCCGTTCGGTAGGAATCATGTACGGCGTTGTGTCTTTTGGATAAAAAACATGTCACGACCACCCAATACTGTCCTTAGTGGCCATAGAAGATGATCCCTGACCCTCCCCCCCACCGCCTGCTGATCACCGCAGATCATCAACCCGCACACCCAACGGCGGTACAACGTCACCCGAGAGTTCTGCGCGGCGCCGTACTACGCGGCCATCTACAAGCGCCTCCTGAAGGACACCCTGCGCAAGAACCTTTCCCTCGCCCCCGTCGTCACCCGGCAGGCGCCATCCTCTGCACGACGCGTCGCGGACGCCACCGCTGCGCTCGCCGCGGGCGATCCATCTAGAGCTAGTAGCCACGGGGGCAGCAGCGGCAGCGACGGCCGCAGCAGGGACGCCGCCGAACGACCTTCGATGTCGGCGGCAGCGGCGGTGGCGGCGGCGGCGGTGGCGGCAGCCGGCTTGGAGCGCTCGCCGACTGGGGCAGGGCGGGGGGGCGGCGGAGTGGGCAACGGGTCGCGCCACCACCCCCGATCTGCATCGCTGTCGCCGCCCAGGAGGAGCCACCAGCTGCCGCGGGGCCCCGGGGGTATCGACATCCTGTCTTGCCCGGCAAAGGACCCTCCGCTGGAAGGCGGCGGCGGGGCGGGGCGGATGCACGTCCGGTCGGTGAGCTCCGCCGATGTCACCGCCGCGGTGGCTGGCGCCGAGGGCGCCAACGACGCGGCGGTAGCGGCGGCGGCGATGCTGGGGCTGGGAGCGGAAGTGTTTGCGGGCAGGGGCGGAAGGGGCCCCGCGGCCGCGAAGGAGAGTTGTGGGTCTTCGGGTGCTGTCAGGGGGCCGCCGGGGCGGGCGGCCGGGGGTGAGGGCGGCGCCGCCGTTGCTCCTGCCCCCGCTCATCGCTCAGACAGCCACGCGGACAAGATTCGCGTTGAGCCGGACACGGCGCGAGACCGACATCACGCTGCTTGGGCAGCGACGGAGGTGACACTGGCACGGCGGGAGAACGGCGGTGGCGTTACGAGCGAGCGACGAAGCGCGAACGGGGGAGGGGCGGAGGCGGAGGCGGAGGCGGAGGCGGAGGCGGAGGCGCTGTTTGATGGGAGAGAGGAGGAACAGCTTCGACGTGAAAGAGCGGGCGGAGATGGTGGTAAGCAGGAGGGACCGCGGGAGGTGAAGGGCGGAGCTGGAGCGGAGGAGGCGGTGAAAGAAGAGGGGATGAATGTGGAGGAGCCCCTGTCGGAGAGAAAGGCAGAGGATGAAGACGTAGATATGGCGGCGGAGGATTTCGACCCCTCGAATGTTCTCAAGGGGGTAAGCGTTTCTATTTTGTCGAGCGTCCTTGTTTGTGGTGTCTGTGCGTTATGTTTGTCTTTTGTCTCTTGTCTTTTGTCGTCGCGGTGCCGATCCTTCCATCGAAGCCATGGGGCCGTAAAGCAGCTTGGAGGGACTCTTTGAGCTCACTCGTAGGTGCTTCCTGCTGTTGGAGTGGTGCTCTGCATGTTGTGCGTTCCTGAAGCGTTTCTGGTTGATTTTCTTCCACGCCGACGGGCATTCTTACGGCCTACGCACGGCGTCAGCTTGCGCACCTCGACCTGTTGACGCTCGGCCCACGTCATGACGAAGCGTCGCCGGCGTTTGTATCGAATATTTTCTGCGATGGCTTCCCTCAAGGTGCCCGCCGTCAACGTGCCGGAGTCGATCAAGGCAACTCTCCAAGGTTACCAGAGAGACGGGCTGAGCTGGATGGTGCACATGTACAACAACGGCATGCCCCTCATCTTGGTGAGAAAGGAAATCCTGACGGATTGATGCGGTGCGACTGTTGTGCTACAACGACGTGCTCTCGTCTACGGGATCACGGAGCGCGGTCGCTGGAGGCTATGGATTGTCGAAGACGTGTAGAAACATTTTTTTTTCTCCCCCATGTGTCGGCATAATTAGGGTTCCTGGAAAGTGTGGTGCCCCTAAAACGGGCACGAACCTGGATCGGAATCAGGCTAAAGGTTAACGGCGCCGAACCCCCCCCCCCTCTCTCGCCTTCGGTGCCTCCACCAACAGGGGGATCAGACGGGTCTCGGCAAGACCCTCCAAGGCATCGCTCTCATCGCCCACCTGCAGCAGTTGCAGGAGGACACGGAACGCGTGAGCGGCCCCTTCCTCATCGTGGTGCCCTCTGACGCCCTCGGCACCTGTGAGTACTATTTCGCCTGTTCGGCGAAGGGGAGGGTCGAGGACGCGGTAGTCATAACCCCCGGTGTCTTGGACACGCAGAGAACTAAGTTGCCGCCGCTGATACCTCGACTCCTCCTCGACGTCACGCGACCCTTGGTGCTTTCTAAGCGTCCAAATGAATTATGAAGTGGTGTGGGGATTAATGGTGTCCTGGGGTGTTTACTCGGCGGTTTGTCGACTTTTAGTGCTGTCCACTTTATTGTGCGCGTCCTCTCGGCACGCCGGCCATGCGGTGGTGTATTGCACGGCACCTTCTACAGTGCGAATTGTTTGCCCGTCTCCCAACCGAGGACCTTTTTTCACGTGTCGCCGTTTCAGGGATGTCCGAGATTGACAAGTTCTGCCCCAGCCTGCGCACAGTACGCTTCCACGGGTCGAAGGAGGAGAGAAGTCGCATCAAGGAGGTACGATACATTGTGAAGGGTGAAACCTACCGCTCTATCTGCTGCTGTATTAGGACGATCTCTAGACTTATCGGTAGGTCGAACGAGGTATCATACCCCCTGGACCGAATGTTTTGTTACTTTGACGTGGACCCCACGTCACGAGGAGCGAGAAACCGGTAGATAAGCAGTGTATCGATGGGTGTTGATACGCAGCGTATATGTGGAGAAGCACCTGGCTTTTGACGTTCTTGGTTGACTTGATTTCGGTCTCCCTCACGCCGCTTGTGCCAACCGGTTGTTACCCTGGCATATACCCTGCTGTGTAACGCGGCAGACGGAGATGAAGGACTTGGTCGAGTCGGAAGTGGTGGTGACGACACACGAGACGTTTTCGGCGGAAGGCAGCTTTTTCAAGAAGCGCTCGGTGCTGTGGCAGCTGGTAGTCGTCGATGAGGGGCACCGCCAACTGAAAAACGACAAGTCCCAGCTCAGCCAAAAGCTCAAGCAGGTTTGTCTCATGTCCCAAACGCCTGAAGCAATAACAGCAAACACGAGATGATGTTCGAAAGAAGAGGGTATGGGCAGATATTGCGTTTTTTTTTATTATTATTGTATGCATGTTGTTTCGAGGGGGAGAGGGAGAAATATGCATATTGTTTCGGGGGGGGTGGGGAGACATACGGCGATGGTATCTGCGTTGCTGAGCTCCTCTTACGCTCTCAGCGCTGAGTGAATAATCATGAAAAAGGCCCCAGGCAGCCAGGCATTATCCAAACTCTCTCGTTTCTTGCGGACTACGAGCGGACGGTGTCTTGAAAATGAGCGCCACGAGCGCACCTGGACGGCTAGTAATTTCGGCCCGAAAGAGCAATTTTTATGTATGCGCCCATGTATCATACATACGTGTAGCGGCAATCGCCCGAGTCACAGCAATGAGTAGCCTCCAGCCCCATGCTGCAGTGGGCACGGGGCACGGCCCATTGCAGAAGTGGGCTCGTCCCCACGAAACTTAGCTGCTTGCACCGACAGCCAGCAGGTACAGCAGTATCTCATGTTCGTGAACGAGCGCCGTCCGGTTTTGTTTTTGTTCCCGTGATGGTGATCCTCCCTCTAAAACCCCAACCCTAACCCTAACCCTAACCCTAACCATGACCCTAACCATGACCCTAACCATTACCATTACCATTACCATTACCATAACCCTGACCCTAACCCTGCAGGTGAATACGATGTGCCGGGTGCTTCTCACGGGCATGCCTCCGAGGACCGACGGTGGCATGAACGACCTTCGCGAGCTCTGGGCGGTGCTGCACTTCCTCGTGCCAGACGTCTTCCCCGAGGACACCGCGGAGAGGTATGTGTGCGTGCAGACAGGCAGCAGGGTTTTTGTATGCGTGTGTGAGGAGGCGTGGACGTGGCCGCTGTATCGCCGCTGCCGGCGTCTCCGCGTAGTGATGCGTTTCTCGCCCCTGCATTTTATAGCAGTGCGTTCAGTTCAGAGTTTTTGCAAAAAGAAAAAAATTATTTTGTTCTTGCGCGGTTTTTCGTCGCCACCTGTGGGCTATGTCTTTAGGCTCCGGCCGTGGCTACTGCTGCGCCACCCACCAGGCTGACACCACCACAGCATCGGTGACGTAACCGGTACCGAGAGCGCGCTGTTGCCAGCCAGCAGTCAGTCAGTACGGCGTTTTTTTTTGTCGCGTTTTACTGCAGCCGCGTTGCGACACCTCCGACATCTCCGAGTGTCTTGATTCCCTTTGTTGCGCGTGCTTTCGCCCGCTTTGATTGTGATCGCCCAAAGGTTCGAAGACGGAGTCGACGCGGCAACGGGGGCTTGCTATCCTCGAAGGGTCGACCAGGCGAACGACCTTCTCTCGGTGTTCATGCTCCGGAGAGCAAAGGCGCAGGCAAGCCAAATACCTCCCGACCCTCTTGCTTTCTTGTTGTCTCTCGTCGTTGCTACGAAGGAGCGCTCCGGTTTATAGCTGCACAGAAGTTGTCCTGTCTTCCCTTCGGTACAATAGTGATTTGCGCTGATTAATTTTTCGGTGTGCGAGAGGAGAGAGTGTGGTTAGCGTTGGGGTGCAGGCAGCTGGCGAAGGGCAGAGACTAGAAGCAGACACAGGTCCGGCGGTGACTTGTGTATTTTGATGCACCACCGTCGAAGTCGAGAAGAAAGGGCGTGATGGCCATTCTTTTGTCGACGTTTCGAGGTGTTGGACGTTGATCTGTCGGGGAAACCCTAAACCTATTGCTGGCGAATCACCCTATGTAGCCGTTACCTAGCCCTACCCTTAGCCTTGGGCTGCTGTTTGCCGCGGTTTTTGGCGTAGGAAGCGAACGGGTGCCCTCATTGAAAAAAGGTTTAAGCGTCTTCTTGAGAGAACTTCATGTCGAGTGCCCAATATTTAGCGGCACCTCTGTAGGGAAGCAAGTCGTACGGGCGTTTGGAGTTCCTGAATGCCAACTGCGACTCTCTTCGGGAGCAAACCGCAAACGTGTTGTGGTATGTAGGGTGCGCGCTAATCGGCAAGCGTGACCTCTTCGCGCCCCCCCCCGACAGGTCAAGCTGGACTTGCCGCCGAGAGAAGAGGTGAAGATATTGGTCAAGCTTACCCCTGCCCAGCACCTGGTGTATCGCCACCTGCTGGTCATCCAAGACCGAAAATTGGCCGATGCTATCAGGGTGGAGGGGCAGAAACACGACGGAGTTGGAGCAGGAAGAGGGGGGGACGGTGGGCCCATGTCCCCGGGTCGTGCGGTGGCAGGGGAGAGCTGCGGGGAGGGCAGGGGGGACGCGAACGGGGAATGCCGGGAGGATGAGATGGCGGCGGTGGTCAAGCGGGAGGACGAGCACTACCAGAAGCTGATGACCTTGTTGGTGCACCTCCGGTGGGTTAGTGGGGGGTGATAGCGGTATCGTTGCTGTCGCTGCCCGTATCGGTTCTAGGTTGGCTGTGGAAGTTGTCTCGCGGGAGTATACGAGACTGAGAGAAGGAGAGAGGAAGAGACCTTCGAAGGGAATTTTTGCCAGCGCGGGAGGTACTGTTTTTGCCAGTGACACCCTCTGACAGCATGCAAAGATGCCATTCACACGACTACTTGTTCTGAATAGATGGGATATGTAACATTTCATTTCGTAGAATTGTCCCGCGGGCTTCATTTCACTCTTTTTGTGTCTTGTTTTTTCGCGATTCGGTCCTTTTCTCGCCACCTTTACCCAACTCTAACTCTCACAGCAAGGCGTGCAATCATCCGCACATGCTAGTGGACGTGGAGCGCAGTGTTGGGGAGACGGAGTCACAGACGGTGGATTACACGGTGGCGGCTTCGGGAAAGCTGGCGTTGCTGGACAGGATGCTGCCCAGGCTCCAGGTCGGTTTGTTGTTGGTGTTGGTGGTGATATTTTTATGTTTAGCCCACCCGGCCCCCCTTGTTGGGGAATCTCGGCTCTAGCTACGGATCTGCGGAGATCATGTTGGTGTGTGCCTGGGCCAGCGTGCCCTCTTCGCTAGTAGATGACAGGCAAGGTCCTGAGTCAAATTTTGTTCGCGCCTCCGACGGGAAGCACTCCCTACGCCTTCCATCCTCTCGCTTGTGGTGTGGAGTTGGGATTGGTGACAGTATTGAGATTTTGATGTTGTAACCCCCCCAGTGCTCCGTCCCGGCTTTGTAGGAATGCGAGGTCTATGCTTCAACGACTATGGCATGCACGGCTATGAGTATACCCCCCCCCCGTTCCGTCCTCGCTTAACCCCCCCCGGTTCTGTTTCTTTTTCGTTTTCAGGCGAAGGGGCACCGCTGCTTGATCCTCTCGCAGTTCGCGTCCATGCTGGACATCCTACAGGACCTCTGCCTGGCGAGAGGCTATGAGCACGGTCGCCTGGACGAGTCGACCAGCAGCCCCCAGACAAGACTGGACGCGCGCCGCTTCAACGCTCCGGAGTCGAAGGTTTCGGTGTTGCTCGTGCCGACTAGGATGACGGGGGCGTCTGGCGGCCTCAATCTCACCGCCGCGGATACGGTGATCCTGTACGATAGCCACTGGAACCCCCAGGTGGGTCCCGGCCTTGTTTGTGGGACTTTCGCGTGTGCGTGTGTTTCGTGAGAGTTTCGGCGTAGCACGGGCGTGTTCGTGTGTTTCGTGGGAGCTGTAGAGCATCGTGGTGTGGTTTGCATGTGGGCATGTGGGTTGGTGAGGGCCTCCGGTGTGAGGACGTGTGTGTGTTTTTTTTTGTTTTGAGCGCAGCGTAGTGTGCGGTAGGTGACGTAAGGCTCACAAACCCTGGACCGAATTTCAATGGCCAAGTGTTCCGGGAGGAGGAGGAAGCCACAGTCAAACGGTACTTTTCCGGAAAGCTCTGGAGGAGACTGTTCCAAGGCCGCCATTTGGGGCACCGTCGGTGTTTGTCCTGTGCAGATTAACCGGGCTTTGAAAATCGGTCCGGGGTGTGTGGTATTTTATGCAACCCAAGGTATTTATGTACAAGTAGGCAATTTTGGAGGGATGGGTGATCCGGGGAGTTAATCCAGACCGACCACACCTGGAAAGCCGTACTGGGGCTGCTGCGGTACTGCTTGCTGTCCAGGGAAAACCGATAGCAAGCGATAAACCGTCAAATGTTGGACCACGTTTGGGGAAAACCGGCACAATGATCCCTAACTCCCCCCCCCCCCTTTCCGCACATCAAAGGTGGACCTGCAAGCGATAGAACGGGTGCACCGAATCGGCCAGTCCAAGCCGGTGAAGGTTTTCCGCCTGTTGTGTAGGCGTTCCGTGGAAGAGAGGATAGTCGCGGAAAGAAGACGACATTATGACTGCGCAAAAATGGTGAGTGTTTAATGGGTGCTGTTTGTGGTTGGCTGGTATGGTGCAATGGAAAGTTAGTTGTGTTTTGCTGTGAAGGCAAACACAACTACAACTGTAACAACAACAACCACTACCACAACAATGCCAACAACAACAACAACAACAGGACGTGGATGAGTGGGGCTCGCCAGACTCTGCCAAGGGACACAGGGGCCGCGACCACAGGGATGAGAAAGACGCGCAGGAGGCGTTGGCGGTTGGGGGGGAGGAAGACTCCATGTCCAAGGGAGAGCTGGCATCGCTCATCCATGAGGGGGCGCGTGCCGTGGTCGAACCCCAGGTACAAATAACGTCGCCTCTTTGAAGAGACTTGTTATTGTTGTGGTGTGGCGGCGACGTTGTGTCCGCGCGATGGACTGCTATCGCTGTGATTCGTTTGTTGCAAAAGGTGCGCCAAGGCATGACTGCGCTTCAGTCAAGCATCGAGGCTTATTTTTCTTCTATTTTTGGAGATACTGTAGACCTATGAGAGTGTGAGTTGGAGAACATGGACAACAGTCTGCTAAGTGTTGGCGCTGAACACCTCCGTGCAGTTCCTGCGTGTGCGATTCGGATCCCTCGCATATTTTGAATCTCACCCTCACCTCACGCTTCCTCTCCCGCATACCTGCGAACCTGCGCTTCCTCTCCTTGTTTGTACCTCCCTGGCTTCTTTTCCCTTTTCCGCACTCGCTTATTTTCCTTCATACCCGACTCGCGTATTTTCCCTTATTCACCACTCGCTTCTTTTCCTTCACACCCGACTCGCTTCCTTTCCCTTTTACCTCCCTCTCCCTCGCTCCTTTCCCTTTTACCCCACTCGCTTCCTGTCCCTTATACCTCCCCCGCCTTTTCCCTTCCCCCTCAGGAGGACGGCGATCTCACGGACGCAGAGCTAGACGCGCTTATCGCAACCCCATCCTCTCCCAGCACAACGCTCTCGGGGGGGGGGAGAGAAAGCCCGCCTTTGTCTCCGTCAGCCGGCCACGCCACCGCACCAGCGGCAACAACAGCGGCGGCGACGGCGATAGCGAACGCCCTTGCAGTCGCCGGTCGGTTCGGCTCACCGACGGCTAGCAGCAGCGGTAGGAGCGGCGGCGGCGGCGGCGGCGGCGGCGGGAAGAGGAAGGTAGGGAGCGGGGACAAAAACCCGTCCCGCTCGCGGGGGCTGAGGGAGGCGGATCTCCGGCAGCTGGATGGGAAGTCCGGCGGGTTGTTCGGGGGGGGCGTGCACGGGAGTGTCTTGGGGAAGCGGGCCAGGAAGGTAGGTGGGGGGCTCCGGGGAACGGGAGGCGGGGGGGTGAGGGGAGGAAGGTGTGCACAGATGTCAAGAACATGTGTTGGGGGGTTGATAGGTTCAACGGTAAGTTGTTCTGTGGTTACGTCGGAGGGGTTTTCAGTGCGGTTGGTCTTGGTGGGGTCTTCTCCGCACCTGGAGAAACGAAGAACGTTTGCACAGTAAGTGATGGATAGAATCGCTTGACGAGGTCCAAAACAGCAGTGTCTTGGTGCAGGTCGGGGCAAGAGCGACTTGGTGCAACAATCTTGCCGTTTTTTCTTGCTTGCGTTAACTTGCCGGACGCGGTGAGGTCTCGCGCGGAAGCGATACAGCCTGTTTTTTTCCTGGGTGCTCTCCGGTAGCCTTCTCCTGTTTATGAGTAGATTGAAGACAGACAGAGAAAACAGGAGGCTCATTCATGCACCAGGGACGGGGGACCCTACAGTCAGTACCTACACAACACCCACCCATTGAGACCCCGTGTATCATAACTAAATAGTTCGAGTACATCAAGCAGCCCCTTTATTCATGGTCGCACTCGCTGCCCCCCCCCCCCCCCCCCCCCCTTCGTTCTGCAGCCCGGTAGCGGCGGCAGCAGCATCGATGGCGGTATGCCGAAGCCCTACC